CCAATTAATTGTATATTTTTCTCTCTCTCTTCGTTTTATGAAACCTCATGAATGCGTTTGAAGTCTTCACGCAGAATGGAGAAAGTGGAGCTTTAGGAGATACAAAATGGAATTCACCTGCGGAGTTTGGTAACCGGTGAGTGGTGTATCTCGCTGAAATGTTTGTTTCTTAGCTAACTGTATCCCTTGTCTTATAGCTTCATGGTTAACCCGATCCACGACGAACCTGTGTATCAGTATTTCCTTTCCATCTCGTATTTCATTACCTGTTTCAGCGTTATGTCTGGTATCGTCTCCAGCTGCGGGACTACAATCTAAGGGACATGCCGTTGCGAATCCGTATCAATTTCGCGGTCCTTGTAGAGCCAGAGTACGTTCTCATCAAATATCATGTTCTCTAGACATCAGTATTTATGTGGAAGTTCAAGATCCCAATCCGAATAAAATACATTGAACGGAGAACTATTCGTTTAGCAGGGCAATAGTAGGCAGAGGAGCTCCATGATTCGAAATAAGAAATAAAAGTTGAACTTTATCAGAAATCCCAAACATGTCACTGTAGTCTAACGAGCACAGTCTTGTAGATTTACATTTGTTGTCGAAAGATGGGAGAATAAAACGAAAGAGAAAAGCTAGAGTATTGAAGATATATCCTTTACGACAATAGGCAAATTGAATACCGTCATAAAAGTTCAAATGTTAGAGCAACTTGCGTAAACGTACCCTCTTGAATACATTGGGGGAGGATCGAAGTACGGTCCGTAACACAAAGTTCAGTTGAATCTTACTTTGGAATACTGGCTGAGGTCCAACAATGCAGTATTGAACACTGAGAAATGCAACAGTTGAAGATTTTGGACAGGAAAGGCTACAGGGCACCGGAGAAGGTTTTGATCACAGCGAAATTCACATTAAGTAAGTAGGTGATGAATGTTTGAAGTTATGTTCCATTGCATTGGCATTGTCCTCGCCCGGTTCACCTCCCATTTACAGCATATGCGCATGCGTGAACACAAGCAGTTGTGGTAACTCAGTTATCACTCGCGGTTTGTTCTGCTCCGTGATATTTCCGATCTTTGGTCGAATGGAATCCCACAGTCAGATTGTTTGAAATACTCTTTGTGATCGAATAGCAATGCAATCTATCTTTTGGGACAGTACAGTTTGCAAATCAGTAAGCACATTCGTACGAAGACTTTAATACGATGGATGTTGGTTAATATGTCAAAGCGATGACTGAAACGCCACCTTAAACCATACCCTGGAAGACCTCCACAAAAAAACGCTAAAGTCCTTTTTTCGACTATTTAAATAAGGTAGAGCAAACAATATCCGCGTTCAAATCATAAACATCATTCATATGCCCGAAAAGGAGTTTTTCCAATGCAATAAAATGCACTCCACGATTCACCCAATTGATAATCACTCCGAGTTCATCCTCGTGAATTCCTGGGTACACCTTTCCTTCAACGAAACTGGTTAACCAAGGCAACTTCATTGCATTTGCATGGTCCATTCATGATAGCAGTGTAGCAGTGAAGGCTGATACACGGCACAACATTCGCTAATTCTTCACAAGCCATTTACGCGCACGTTCGATTTTTCACCGCCAATTATCGACCTCGTTTCTGGTTGTCTTAAACAAACTACATTGGAATGCCGGTTTCAGAGAGAGACTCTTTTGTTCTTCTGAGGTGTTAACTTCCTATATGTTTCATGAAAGTCGTCATTGTATGATAGATCCCATAAAACGGGGATTTACAAACAGGGTATGCAAATCACTGTAATCACGAGCGAGGAATGTAGGCGACTGGTGTGAGCCAACATTTTGAACGCTATACCACAGCTCTAACCGCCTCAGTCAATGGCTGATCTCTTATGAGCAGAAGTGCAGGTTAGGCGAGTCACTGCTTGATGGACTTCAGTGCTACACTAATTGTTCACAGATTGGTAACTGTAATGTTATTGGGTGAATCCAAACCGACCATATGGTGTGTACAATAAAAGAACGTCGTTCCGGAATGTATTATTTACTTGATTTCGGTGTTCTTCTGGTCATTATACTCCGGGTATATTCTGCAATTCATTTCCATCGCCCCAGATTCTGCCACCCGATGAGTCCTAATCAAGCTGCATAAAATCGCTCCTTGACACAGATTATCGCGTAGTACCTGATCAGCATAATCATAGGTCATAGGTAGTGAATGACTGAGCGGAGCGAACTACATCTTCAATATACACATATGCACATGCAGACATTGTATACCATATCATTTTGAATCTGATTTGCCTGTTTTTACGGAGTAGTAATTATGTTTACAACTACTCAGTCAATTGACAGAGGTAGGTGACGCGTTTGAAATCGTTTGTTCCGACAAATTGAAAACTACACTTTGCCCCCGAAGCAGGGTTTTATTTAAATCCATATGTGTTGAATCTGTTTGCCGCCCTCCACACGTTCCACCCCAACAGTCTGTCTAGTCACCTCTCCTTCCAGTGTCACTGTCTGACTCGTACGCATTATTGATCATCGGACATGCACTTTTCGTTCGTCCCATCTCTTCATTCGTCCACCACACTTGGTTTCCCCTCTCCTTCTCGTGACCGTTGTCCCTGACCTTGATATGGTCTGACTCACCCTACACTATTACTATCGTATGGAGTTGCCTAATGTTATCCGGATTGGTCCTCAGTCTCACCCATGTGTCGCCCTGTTCCATGTGCGCTTTAACGTTATTTCACTTATCGCCCGTTCGTTTGACTGAGTGATGAACTCCCTCGTTTGGATCTTGGTTCTGATTGGCATTGTTTAGTTCGCCGGTTCAGGCATACCCCCTGGGAACGCCACGGTTTGAGGTGTGTTGTTTATGTAATTGTGACGCCTAATATTTACAGTACNAGTACCGCATACTTATTCGCTATTGTTGGAGCCGAATAAACCTCTAGAAAACTTGAACTTGGCTTCTGAGGTTGCGCGTCACTCAACGTTGACCTGGATAGTCATTTGGATTTAACAATGTGATTGTCAAGTGTGCCACGAAAATATAGTTATGAGAAGCCGCCTGAACTCTTTCTAATGAGAGACATGTTGATGCTCAGACAGTATCTGTTTGTTGTTGCACGTGTAACCTCGTCTCACTTTACCATACTTGCCGTCAATCTCCCTTTAACCAAAGGCTTGTTAGTTGTATGATGATCTGATCTCCTTCCTGTTTCATATACCAATGTAAAATGCGCTCACCTATCTATCCTTATCGATTATTTCGTTTTACCATTCTTAGATGTTTCATCGTTGTTTTTTCTCAATCACTACATTCACTGTGGCCTCATTCATGCGGCAAGAAATCGGTGAAGGGAATTCGGGTACACTGTTTTTGCATCGCAGATTGACGTATCCATCGTATCTTATCGCATTTATCGCATTTGTCGCTCATTATCTTTGTTAATAATAAACACTCGATATCATTGTATACGACACGAAATCGACAAATTCTACCGAAACAACAGCAAGCCCGAGACATGCATTTGAAGGAGCACTTTCCAAGGCCTATTTAACATGAGAAACGTTTTCTCATTAGTCATGTAGATTAAGAACCGTCGGGTTATCCGTATAACCTTGTATTACATAACGTTCAACGACATTCGCAACAAGTGTCACTATCTTAACGACCGTGATCCATCTAGCTCCATTTCACAGTGGAGACCCGTCAAAAGTAGCATGAATAGTAAGTCATTCAGCTAGAATGCGAGTTCTGATTCATGAGGCTTTACGTGCTGAAAGAGACCAGATTTCTTGACTTCGCTTGCGTATCTCATATAGTTGGTATCTTTGATTGAACAATCCGTTTTAGTATGCTTGTAGTGACGAGAAGAGAAGAGCAGGAGCATTCCTTGAGGATATTTTCCATTCATGTTTTCTTCCCAATCAACTATGACTTTCACCGTGATGTTACGTTCAGCTTTTCTTACCTACTTGTGTTTTACTGAGCACGGTTTACAGCTTAGGTGTATACACAAGCCAGGTATTGTTCCAACCCACGCAATACGTGTGACACGCTTTCCCTTTATTACTGCATTTATTTGCTTGCATTGTTTAGTCGTCAAATAGACCCGTATTTGGTACTTTATAATAACGCGATACACCGATAAATGTCTGCGACAACCACGCGTGTTCTTATCTGTCCTGGGCAAAGAAATACTAGAAGGCAGTGCGCTCACTTTGGTATTTGTAAGCAGTCTTACCGACAGGCCGTCACGTCGAACAGCTTCATGCTCACCACTACCGAACATTTTTCGTAGAGAGTTGCACGTCATTGTGGATGCCATCGCAAGTACACGTGAATCAAGTCACAGAATCAGATATAATTATATTCAAATTCCTCTAAATTTATTTTTCAAACTAAGATAACCAAATATAGCATGGAATATGTATGGTTCGCATGGTTGCGCGAGGAATTACACAATACGCTCACTTAAACTGAACCTGATCAGGAGGGTATGGGCAGCCATCGGTTCACGCCCTTACTTACATGTTCTTGACATGCACGATGATAAATCCTTGTCAGGGATACTACCGTTGAATTCCGTTCATGGAAGGCGTATCCCGGGTGTTAATGTCCGATTCTGCCCTCACCTCGCTTAACGCCCTATGAACAGATCACTGGAAGTCTCATTCCCTGGTCCGATCTTTGTTAGCACTTAGTGTATACGTCCATAACTGCTTTCTCGAATGAGATGAATACAATAACCTTTCACTAGGTTATTCATAACCCGTGAATTAAACATTTTCGAGTTTTTTATTTTCAATTTTCAGTTGGAATAAATGTTTTCTCCACATTCATTCAAAATTCTGAACAAATGTTCATATCCAACGATTGTGACCCACCCGTAATCCATTCGCAAAACTACGATATATGAAGTATATGGTGTTATTTATTTGACTGTCAGTTATCTTCATCTTTATGGGTTATCGTTAGAATATTCGAAGGATAGTAGAATGCTTAGCAAACGCGAACGGAAACGCCATCAGATTGTGTGAATCCTAAACAAACACAAAGGAAGAAATAGATGATTACATAAAATGAGCAAATACTATCAACAGCACTCGACTCAATAGTGTATCCGCAAACATGCAAGTACAACCAAGGAATCAAACCCGAAACAAATTAAAACTAATGAGACAACGGAGAAAAGTAAAACGAGTGTATGGATATGCACACCGTGAGCTTACATGCTGAAAGCACCAGTGACAGGAGGACCATGCACAAACCGTGTATGGCCGGGCGAAAACCTGAATCTGGAACAATTAAGACATTTAATAATAGAACAGACGTAATAAGTGGGGAATTTTGAAAATTACATAGCATCAAACCCGAAGAAAGTGAAAAAGAAAATGCCAAAACTCACTTTCTTTGGCAATGGCTGAAAACGTGACTTTTTCTGGACTATCCGCTCCGACCACCAATTTCACATACAAAATGTGACCAGTTGACGATGGCACATTTGCCGGCGGAGTTGGACCGCAGAATTTGATTGGCGTCTGCTCACTGTATGCCGCATCGTTGCTGATTTGCAGATAAGATTTATCGCAATTATCCGCACTAGCACCCACCTGAGGTCGCATGAAATAGAACCAAAAGAGAAAATATTCAACCATAAAAGAATGCGTGAAATAAATTAAGTGATAGACCATGAATGCATAACTATATTGATCGAGACCATGGAACTAGTGAGAACTTCTCACCACTTACAGTGAAGTTACTGAATACTAGCTCATACGTTTTCCCTTCTGTACCGGTGAGCACGTATTCACATATGGTTGAAGCATCAAACTGGGTTCCTGTTGTTGGAACAGTCCATCCCTTTGCCACATCAGCCATAGTTAGTGCCTTGGTACCACATTTGTCTCCTGCACCAGATGATTCTGGGACCGGGAATTATGAGGAATCCGGGATATATTAAATGTTCACAACAAAACACACGTGCAACAACAAAAAAACTTAAAACCTGATAAACGCTGAAATTTGTAAAATATGTGCAATGTAAATTTCATATTGGAAATTTGCAAACGGTGATTATAACGGAGCGCGCAACTACACGACACTCGAAATAGTTAGACTTCGTTAATTTTTAATAATGAGTGAAATTGCAGGCACACGAATACAAGAACGCGTTCGTTTTATTCCTGGATGGATTTCCCATAAGAAGACATTCACGTAATCACAGGAATTATTTGTTGTTGACGTTGGCATCATATTTAGTTTCCTTGTTAAGATTTACAATCGATCACTTTGTGATAAGATGATAGTGACATTTATATTGAATGACAACCGTGGTCGACGTCATCCACTCCTATTACCCAACCAAATGATTGTTAGATTTCAGAGGCAAAGGAAAGCGCAAGGATTTACTGATGCTGATCTACTGCTTGTTGACATATGTTTACACGTTCATGATCCGATCACCAAGTACAACAGTTACCTTCAACACGCTTCCATTTCAATTTGTTCCACTGAGGAAATTGCAAAAAATATCCTAATGAATCAAACATTTTCAAAGACAACAAAAAAATGAAACATTGCTGATTTAAGAGGTCGACTGCAATAGCCAGCCATAATTTCAACACTTAACATTCCAGACCGAATATGAAAACGTATCACGAGCATATAAACCGCTATCAAACTGGAAGCATCATTCTCTTCCTCTTTTCGGACTTAGTCAACGGCGAGCAAGAATGATAACTACCCAAACAATGAGCGAATTGTGACGTTGAAAAGGAAAACGTAGAAAAGGACGGATATAGAAAGAACACAAACATTCATGGATTAATGAACATCTCCGCTCGTGGGACAATGATGTGTTTTCAAACGAAGGCTGAGAATGGGACAGGCGGAAACGAATTCACTTTACAACAGATACGAAAACGGATTATCAATAACTTTTAGGTGGTCGTTTGGTTACTGACCATCTATCGGACTAATACATCTGCGACGTTCACGAATAAAGTGATTCCAATTCGTCACAGTTCTTCTTTGTTGTGACTGTTGGCGTCATATTTTGTTGTCATGTTAGAATTTCCGCTTGATCTCTTTGTCGCGTGATTTACTTTGTGCAGTCTCAACGATATTCTCATGAATGAAATGCATGTGAAATATCTCATTACAGCACACACGGAATATCAAACGTAGACCCACCTTCTTTCACAGTAGCTTTAAAGGATACTTGGTCTGGACTATCCGGTCCGACCACCAGTTTCACATACAAAACGTGACCTGTTGACATTGGCACATTTGCCGGCGGATTTGGACCGCAGAATTTGTTCGGCGGCTGCTCGCTATACGCTGCATCGTTGCTGATTTGCAGGTAAGATTTATCGCAATTATCCGCACTCGCACCCACCTGATATCACACAGGGTGAAAATAAATGAAGAAAGCGTTGAGTGATTGAGAATCGCACGAAATATTCAAGCATGAATGATTCACTACTTACAGTGAAGCTTTGGAATTGTAGCTGGTATGTCTTCCCTTCTGTCCCGGTGAGTACGTATTCACATGTAGTTTCAGCACTAAACTGGGATCCCGTAGGTGGAACAGTCCATCCTTTTGCCACGTCAGTCATAGACAGCGCTTTCGTGCCGCATTTGTCTCCCGCAATAGGTGCTTCTGAAACCGGAATATTCGGAGAAGTCAATACATTTAACAGCGCGCAAATTGCTTGATGTGTTACACAAACGTTTTACCAGCTCACGAGGACCGAAGTGATCGAATGATCAGTGTTTTATCGGTTCATATTACAATGAGAATATTCCAATGACGGATTTCATGCTATCTAAATGATTCGATATCTCTGTTGAACACCGTGTCCGCCTTTCTCGCGCCAATACTGTTTCCACCCTTTCATTTCTCACCTTTCCGCTGAGGTTCGAATTCTCTTTTCCCACGATTCATTGCTAACCGATATATCCTCAGTGCTACTAGGGTTGCGTCGCTTTTCTTTTACCACTTCGCTTTTTGGTCTATTTAACTCTTCCAATTTTGTGGCCTTGGCATCCATTTGTGTCCCAACCTAGTTCATTGTGGATCAAACACGAATATAGGTAGTGGGTTGGTATTCTTTTCCGATTGCGATTTGTTCAGGTCAGTTCTCGGGGCACGACGTGAACTGATGCGTCGTCTGATGCTTCGTTTGATGCTTGATTTGCATTTGCGTATAAACTGGAAGAAACCTAACAATAACTATCCGTGACCTCATTGGTAGAGTCAGGGTGACATGACACGTTCTCACTCATGTATCACCATCATGGTCTAGATTCACCTCAATTGGACTTCCGATCTGGGAATGAATCATTGACACATTCCGATCAAAACAGGCCACAAAATGTATCTAGGTTTGGCACAATTCAATCAACTCAGTGAATAACCACATCGAACTGGATCTAATGCACACACCAATGAAACTCAAGGATCAAATGACACAAAAAACACAGCAGTGTGTCCGGGAATGAAGCTGACAAACCGCTATCCAACTGGAAGCATCATTCTCTTCCTCTTTTCGGACTTAGTCAACGGCGAGCAAGAATGATAACTACCCAAACAATGAGCGAATTGTGACGTTGAAAAGGAAAACGTAGAAAAGAACGGATATAGAAAGAACACAAACATTCATGGATTAATGAACATCTCCGCTCGTGGGACAATGATGTGTTTTCAAACGAAGGCTGAGAATGGGACAGGCGGAAACGAATTCACTTTACAACAGATACGAAAACGGATTATCAATAACTTTTAGGTGGTCGTTTGGTTACTGACCATCTATCGGACTAATACATCTGCGACGTTCACGAATAAAGTGATTCCAATTCGTCACAGTTCTTCTTTGTTGTGACTGTTGGCGTCATATTTTGTTGTCATGTTAGAATTTCCGCTTGATCTCTTTGTCGCGTGATTTACTTTGTGCAGTCTCAACGATATTCTCATGAATGAAATGCATGTGAAATATCTCATTACAGCACACACGGAATATCAAACGTAGACCCACCTTCTTTCACAGTAGCTTTAAAGGATACTTGGTCTGGACTATCCGGTCCGACCACCAGTTTCACATACAAAACGTGACCTGTTGACATTGGCACATTTGCCGGCGGATTTGGACCGCAGAATTTGTTCGGCGGCTGCTCGCTATACGCTGCATCGTTGCTGATTTGCAGGTAAGATTTATCGCAATTATCCGCACTCGCACCCACCTGATATCACACAGGGTGAAAATAAATGAAGAAAGCGTTGAGTGATTGAGAATCGCACGAAATATTCAAGCATGAATGATTCACTACTTACAGTGAAGCTTTGGAATTGTAGCTGGTATGTCTTCCCTTCTGTCCCGGTGAGTACGTATTCACATGTAGTTTCAGCACTAAACTGGGATCCCGTAGGTGGAACAGTCCATCCTTTTGCCACGTCAGTCATAGACAGCGCTTTCGTGCCGCATCTGTCTTGTTGGGCTGTGTGAAATAAATGTATATTGTTTATTTTATCGATATATTTTTTTTCTTAATTGAAGTGTATTTTTTCTCATATGTTTGTTTTTTTCTCTGAGGAGTTTTTAGTTTTTTTTTGAAATATTATTCAATCGATATCATTTTCGCTTCCCTAATATATTTCCTGCGTTTTTTTTAACCCAAATGGAGCATGCGAACTTTTGGGTTTTATCTCATTTTTCTCACCTGACGTTGTTTTCAGCAAGGTGAATATCAGCAGAATTATACTGATTTTGCCTTTCATTTTTTAAATGTTTCTCACATTGTTTATGACTTCAATCGTCTCCTTTTATAGTGCCTTTTACGTTTGCCCTTTGCGATTGGTCTTATCTTTTGATCTATCCTACTAATCATTTTTGCTTCGATAAGGCCTAATTCCATCATATCTCGTGACGGTCAACCAATTACGACTGTTTACCCCTCGCTGCTACTAAACTAATTAACTATTTATTTGGCGTTTTTTCATACCACGGCGAAATTGCGGCTCTCATGAGATAGCCCGTTGACATATTTGGCACTTCTTTTTGTTCAATATTGATTTGGATTATATTAACTCTTATTTCACCTCTAACGGCGTATTTTCCTCAGTATTGGTTTATTCGATTGGATGCCACTGGATGCGGAATCTACCTTTTGCTGTATGGAAACTAGGTCGCACAGAGCACTCAAGTGTGTGCCTGTATACCAATTATACATGCACAATTATCCGAGTACAGTTCCACTTTAAGCTCGGTGGACGTTCGGTTGACGAAAAGTTACTTTATTGTAGAGAATGGGGAAACATTCATTGTGAAAGAAGATAAAATTGAGGTATCTAAATACCTTCCAATCTGATCTTATTTAATTCAATAAACCCTCCATTTCAATGTCATTCGTGATCGCAATTCAAGCGTTTGTAGTTTATTGTGTTCATAAGTAATGGCGTTAGCTGTATCTGAATGCAAATATGACAGGTTATGAATGAATTTTCTCTTTGGGTAACCTCATCACAAAACATTTCCTTTTGGTTTTCAATAACATTTATCATACATTTTTGAGCAACAATATGATGGCCCGGTGCAGGAAAAAGTCAGCAAATTGGGCACACTAATCCAGTGACGTGACCGGAGAACATGTCCACTGCCTAAGCCTTATTTCAAGTGACAGTCTGATAAATCTTGCACTTCAAAATCCGTCAATCGATGCATTTTGTGTGGTGTTTTTATTGGCGTTTCACACGTTGATTGTGAAGCGTTAGGTGGTATGCGTGAGGCAAGACGGGAGACGAATAGAGAGTGTACAAACAGATGAATTAAGTGAGTAAAAGTAATTCAACTACCATGCAACGCGTGGTGTAATTTGAGTGCGGTCTCGAACAGTGGTGAATCTATCATTCATGCGATGCATATATGCCGAAGCTGTTGTACGTTTAACTTCTACACAAGTGTTTGGTGTTACGGGCACAAGATACCATGGGTGAGCTTTGTCGTTATTGGTGCAATCATTGGTGAACTCTATCATTCCTTCGAAATACTCAGTATGTTCAGGGGTGGATGTCTAGAGTTAAAGCTGGTCACTCTTCCCTTGCACCTCGCAAAATACTCCCATCCGACCGAGCGTCTCAAATAGCCTCTGCTGAGGAAGTCCTACTCACTGCATTCTAGTGGTGAAGATGTTTCCCCACCAAAGTGAGAGGACGAAAAACCGACATCCGGGGCTATAACCGGGTTAGACTTTGGTTAGCCGAAGGCTCTCGTTGAGCATTCCCCGGACAAATCACTTGCCTTGGCCTGGGCAACCTGACCCACATGTAAATTGTGGATCGTTTTTCTTTTGATAAAGATTATTGTACCGCAGTTTGTTTGGCACACAACCTGGCAATATATATATATATACATATCTATAGATAAATAGATATCTATGCCCCTACATCAAGGGATTCTGAAAAGAGCAGATTTTGGTTGATCGGGGGTAAGGCAATAATTCCCCTCAATCCTTGATGTTCCCATTAAATTTCCGGATTTGTTGTGACTGTTTGAATATTGGGCATGGTTTGCAATGATTACAGAGCTTACCGCCGAAGTAAGTCCGCAGAAGTAATTAAACTATGACGTTCTTTTTCCTGTAGCTCCTCCGATGTTTAAACTGCACTTTTTATCAGCAAATGATGATCGTGATGATACTATTCTTCGGCTTCCATAAACAATCGGTCATAGTTGCAATTTCACGTGTAATTCTCAGTTCACCTGTGAACCGTACAATCTGTGGATCATTCGATGAAGTTTTATCCTTTGTGGAGCTCATTTATCGCAGACATTGTGATCACAGCATTGGCAATGAAAACAATACCATTTTAATTCTTAAGATATCATGAAAATTGACTGAAGGGCAGTGAGTGGATTCAACAAAAGTTATTTGTAATTCAATATGGCTATCGGAACCGCACAGATCCGGTTGGTTGGGTCATATTTCATAACTAAACAGTGTTGCGTCAATTTGAGATATTTGGCAGCTCATTGAATATTCCCATCGTGACATTAAGACAACACTGTAGCGAACAATGCCTGTTTTCGATAACTTCCTCCTCGGGCTAACACAGTTATACATAGGGTTCAAAATTATCAAATTAGTGTAATGGTCAGATGTGATAAATATGAATGGTTGATTGTGATCTTGCCATGTGTAATTTGGAAATGTGAGGAAAGTGTTGTTGTTATTGTTGTGTGGTTCATAAATGTTCACAGTTGGTGGTTAGAGTGAGCTGTTCTATTTCCGGTATGCGCCCCTGGGTCATGACAAAGGTCACGGTGGTTTCGGTCAACTGTGTCAGGTTGAGGCTGGGGTAAACGAAGTGACTGAACGAATCGTTTTTGAGAACAAAGGGACGGAATGAGTAGGCGAATAGCCATTGCCTCGGTTGTTGCAAGGTGTCGTTGACGAACAGCTTCTGATGGGTTTGCTGGTACTTTGTAGATCACCTTGAAAGCCTCGTCGTTTGCTTGATGCCCCGTGTCTGCAAGGTGTTCTATCACTGCAATTGTAATTGTTTTCCTTATGCCCGTACTCAGCCACGCCGGTTTGTGTTCCTTGATTCTTTGAGACAATTGCCTGATCGTTCTTCCTACATAGCTTGCCGAACATGAACAAAAAAGTGGTAAATTATCATAGACGAGGAAACGATAGTCACTGTATCTTTAAGATTTACGGAAACCAATTGAGTGAATTGAGTGTGTAGGGTTGCGGCAGAGAAGGTGCGAGCGATAGCCTTTTCTAATCGGCGTTTCAGTAAATCAGATATTGTTTGTAAAACATCCTTTTCTCTTTATCCATTTCATCAACAACAGAAGACATTTGTGGGCAGAATTGATATTAGACATCAATTTTGCGTGCTCTCTCTCTCAGATGTGACAACAAGGATATCTCCACGTTCAACACACGCCGTCGAAATGACGTACAATGCCGCAATACTAATGATTGTCTACGGGACGTTTCGCTGTCTCACACACACTAATCTGGATCGAAAAGACGTTAGTGTTACCTCCAACTGCATATATACATTTCAATGTACTTGCGGTCAGCGGTGTATCGGAAGGACAGAACGTCACTTACCAACCAGAATGTGTGAACATATTCCGAAACAGCCTGGTCTTCGTGGAGGGAAATTGCCATCTAGTGCGATTGCCCATTATTTGTTAGATTCCGGCCACCACGTAGACGCTTCCAAAGCGTTTCGAGTCATTGCGAAACCTAGAAGTTCACGGACTTTGCGATTCTTAGAAGCGATAATTATTCATCGCTTGAAACCGCAATTAAGTTTTTAAAAAACATTTGTGACGCAACTGTTTTTGCCATGGTGGTGATGATATCACAGTTGATACCACCCTACCATAGCATGACGTGACATGACCTTCCCTCCCCCTCCGTAGTTCACCACATTCACTTTCGCTTGAGCTTCAGATGCACAAAACTGGCAAAATTAGAGTATTGCCCAGTTCAAGTTGGTTTGCGATAAACAGAGCGTTTTATCACGCTTCCCTGGCATCTTGTGAGTTTTACATCTAGGAAGTGAAAATTATCTCCCAATTCTAATTCGGACGTAAAACTGATGGCGGCGTGGGCATTATTGAAGGCATTTACAAGTGGATCTATCTGCCTCTGATTTTTGATCAGGATAAAAATATCGTCCACATAACGACAGTAGAATGGCAAGCCCTTTATTGTGTTTTGTAAGAGCACATCTTCCAGTTAGGAATCAAATATATCAGCTGATAGAGGTCCAAGTGGTGATCCCATGGAAACACCGTCCGTTTGACGATAGATTTCTTCGTTAAAGCTGAACTGGATGTTGTATGTGCAACGCAATAATAACTCTTTTAAATTATCCACTGGGATGCGAGTATTGATCTCATTTTCTCTGATATAGCCAAATAGGTATGATATTGTTTCCGAGAGTGGCACGTTTGTAAACAATGAAGTCACATTCAAGGAAGCCATCCGTACTCCGTCCATGTTCTTCTCCTTAATCAGGTCTATGAATTCAAATGTATTTTTCAGGCTGCATTGTGCTATACTTCTCGGAACCGGTACCAGTAAATTCACAAGCCAGTGAGCAGCCTGATGATAACGCGAAGCACTCCCGTCTAATACTGGTCTCAATGGGACATCTGATTTATGTATTTTCGGTAGACCGTATAGTCGTGGGATAGACGTACCCCTTGGCCGTAGCTGGTCAAAAATTGCTTTGGATATACAATTTTGATCCTTAGGCATTTTCAGAGATGCTGTCAGTTGTTCCTCCGCTACCTTTGTCTGATCCTTTTCCCCTTCATCCTTTTTAAATTTTGAGTGGTCGCTCAAAATCTTGGTCATCTTATTGACGTAATCGGATAGATTTAATAGCACGACTCCCGATCCCTTGTCCGGTCTGACAATGATAATGTTTCTGTTTCC